CCAAGGATGTCCGGGGATGTCCGAGGATGTCCGGGGATGTCCGAGGATGTCCGGGGATGTCCGGGGAAGCCCGGCAATGTCTGAAATGTTCAGGGATGTCCGGGATGTTCGGGGATGCTCGGCCAGATCGCTGAAGGAAACCCTGGGAGATACACCCAGGGCTTACCCACAGGGCCTCCAGAGACTGTGTCCATTTCTGGTGGTTTCAGTTCAGGGAGGACATCCAGGTGATGGAGCGTGTCCAGGCCAGGGTAAAGGATGTGGAGAAGAGCCTGGAGCACGACTCCTGTAAGGAGCAGCTGAGGGAGATGGGGGTGTTGGTTTAACCCGGAGGAAAGGAGGTGCAGGGATGACCTCATCAATCTCTACAGCTGCCTGATGTGTTATAGCCAGGTGGGAGTCAGCCTCTTCCCCCCTAAACAGCAACAGGACAAGAGAAAATGGCCTCAAGCTGCACCAGGGGAGGTTCAGGTCGGACATTAGGAAGAGGTTCTTCACAGAACAGGTGATTAGACATTGGAATGGGCTGCTGAGGGGCATAGTGGGGTCATGGTCCCCGAAGAGGCTGGATGTGTCAGTGCCATGGTCTAGTTGACGTGGTGGAGATCAGTCAAAGGTTGGACTTGATGATCTCAGAGGTTTTCCAGCCTAATCCTGGGACCCTGGAGAAAGGGCTCTGCCAGGGCACCTTTGAAGATGTTTTACTCATGTCCCCATGGGCAATGGCCATAGTGGGGACACACATGTGGCTGCCAGTGGCTCCTGAGGCAGTGGCCGCTTCTCTGGTTTGGGGGTAGAACACCCACTGCATCTGAGGGGTCTGGGAGGTGCTTCATGGCTGGGGCAGCAGTCAGGTGCTCTCCCTAAAAAGGCCTTGGGGTTGTGCAGGCATTGCCCAGGCAGCTCAGCTTGCCCAGACCAGCAACAGGAGGGAGAGGGGCAGACAGCCCTAGAAATGCCCATCTCAGGGCAGGGAGCCTGGTAATTGTGGAATGGTTTGGGTTGGAAGAGACTTTAATGACCATCATGTTCTAACACCCTGTTGTGGGCAGGGACACCTGCTACTAGACCAGGATGATCAGAGCCACATCCAAAGGATGTGCCAGATCCTCACCACCCTCACAGTAAAGAATTTCTTCCTAATATGTATTCAAACCCTACCCTCCTTCAGCCTAAGGCCATTCTGATGGTGCCTGAGAATGTGACAATTCACCTGGGAAACAGCTCAGTGTCACAACAGCTGCATCCTCACTGTTGTGAACACGGCTTGATGATGTAGAACACAGTGTGCAGGTGAATTTAATACACTCCATGCAAATTACCTCACAGTAGTTCTTAAAATGTTGCTCTAGATTATTATTACAAAAAAAACACCACAGAAATCCTTGCCTGAAAGCAGAAGATACTGAAAGGCCTTACTAGAGAGTAGTTCCTCAGGAGTACAGACTGTGGCTCTGGGAAGTCCAAGCAGCAATTTCTTCTGTATCTATAAAAAGTACCAATACAGAGAAAAGCAGTTCAAGGTAGTTTATTTTAGGACATGAGATTCACCCTGAAGTGTTCCATGTGTTTCAGGCCATTGAAGGAGTTGAGACAGCTGGATGTCTCCATCTGCACATATATCATATAGTATATAGAGCTATTTGGAGAGTATTGCACGCTGTAGAAATAGGAAAAATGAGAAAGAGGATGCTTGAATCAAGTAAAAGTGATAGAAAAGACTTCCCACCTGGATGTGACTGGTCTAAAGCTGAGGGACCAGTTTCAGTGTTAAAAAGTCAAGGGTCTGTCTGTCTGGGAAGAAAATGGACTGTGACTAGAATGTGGGGTGAAATTTATGAAAAAAATGCAGGAAAAGCACTAAGCAACTAAAATCAAGAGAAGAGCCAGATATTTTGTATTTGCTATAAACAGAGACACTGAAGCAGCTGTCTCACTATATTGTTAAAAATTCACAACTTGCAGAGAAACATCCACAGAATCAGTCACAGAAAATTCTGAGTTGGATGGGACCCACAAGGATCATCAAAATACAATTTCTGATTGAAATAACTCTCTTTTTTCCTTACCCTCCATATTCTAATTTTACTGCAGAAGAGTTTAGTAGAAAAGAGTGTTCTTAAACAGAACAATTATTTACTCTAAATCATAGTTTGCTTAGTTAATTACATCTGAAAGATGCTATAAAGTGACATTTGCACAAGTAACCATTAGCCCCACTGGTAAAAACATCAGTTGGGAAAACATGCAGAATAAGATTGTGGGCACAGGAGCGGTGCAGAGTGTGAAACTGGTGATGTGAAGAAGGCCTGGCCTTTGATTTGGGTCTCAGAAAACCACGAGATGCCAGGGCATACATGAGGTGAAGCTATGCAAAAATGGATGAGTGTTTGGAACAGGAGTGCAAGCACTGACAAACTGCAGTCGTAGCTGAGGAGGGATATCCATACCTTTCATGCCTGTCAGGAGGGACTGGGGAAGAGGCCCTGAGTCAGCTGTTCTGTCTGAAGAAGTGCCAGCCTTGCAGCAACCACTGCAACTTCAGACAGATGGGTGTCGAGGTATGGAATCGTCAGCACAGATGGATGTGCCAGATCCTGAGAGATGTAAGACAGACACCTCAGAGGAAACTTGTAAGACCAAGTGACAGCGCCAAGTGTGTTGGAAACTATCTGAACATAATGTGTGAGGCAAATTAGAGGGATTTGTAATTGCAGCACAGCTCCGCACTCAAGATTCAATTTCCTTCGCCAAGGCAGCAGCCAGGTGAAGAATGGTTTGGGTTGGAAGGGACCGTAAAGAACGTCTTAGTTCCAACCTCCCTTCCACATGCAGGGACAGCTTTCACTATCCCAGGTTGCTCAGAGCCCCAAACAGCCTGACCTTGAACACTTCCAGGGATGGGGCAGCCACAGCTTCCCTGGGCACCCTGTGCCAGGGCCTGCCCACCCTCACAGGGAACAATTTCTTCCTAACATCCAATCTAACCGTGCCCTCTTCCAGCTTAAGGCCATTCCCCATTGTTCTGTCACTACATGCTCTTCTGGAAAGTCCCTCTCCACTACAAGGGAGTTTTGGTATACATAATAAACTGATTTAAAAGATCTCCACAGCAACACCAACCCAGACTGTGCCATTGGCATTTAAATCCATTCAAATCAATCATGGTGGCCGGGAATGAATACACACCACTAATTAGCTCCATTAGGGCTCAGCACAATCAGTGGGATTACTTTTCATCCCAGCCTTGAGAATAATTTCCATAAATCAGCACCAATTTCATGAGGAGAACCACTTAATCCATTTCCTGAGATCTGGCAATGATTTAGGTTCTTTCTCTCATAAGGGACAAGAGGAGCTGCAGTGAGGGTTGGTATAAAAGCAAAATTATGATCTGATCAGCCTAGCAGTGAAGTGACACCAGCTGAAATATTGACATGGAAATAAACAACTTGTTTAGGAATGGCAAGCAGAGAATGATGCTTCTGGAACCAGTGACTAGCAGACATGCTGAAGGCTGAAAGGTCAAGGAAAGGAACCCCTTGGAGAAGCACAGTCAGTGATCAAAGAGAGGGGGAGAAAATGGTAAATGCTGTTGTGGTAACATCACTGAAGGAGGAGATCAAGTGGAGGAGGCTTTCTGTTAGCAGCAACTGAAATCACCAAAAGAGCCAATGGAGCTTTGGTGGTACCCAGAACCTTTTTGGGAAGGGACAGCATAAGCCTATTGCATAAGTTCATGGCAATGTTCTTATGCAAAGGGAAGAAAACACAGCCCAAAAAGAATCACTCCTTATTTTAACTGAATGGGATAAGCCACGATTTGGACAGAATCATACTTCAAAATGATCTTTGGCAGACTGGAGAAATCAGAAGAGAAAGTAAAATAGGAAGGTGGCCGATAAGGGCAAGTGCTAAATTTTGCAGCCAGGCAGAAGGAATAATCTGCTTGAATGGCCATTACCTGGACAGTAATTGTGTGGAGTGGAAGGGATGACTACAGTGCCAGGAAGGCTCAATGTGAGTCAACAAGGCCCTGCTGTTGTGTAAAAAGCAAACATTATACAGGGTTAAGCAAACAGGATCCAGCCTGCAGGACACATGGCACTCCCAGCACCCATGTGCTGTGGGGAGGTACTTGTCCCACCTGGAATAACGTGGCCCACATGTGACACAAGAAGTTGTAGAGGGAAATACAGGCCAGGAGTAAAGTCTGAAAGAGGGGAAGTTGTCAGAGAAAACAGACTGTCAGAAACCTTGCTCAAATCAGCTACAAGTACTACAAGGAGAACAAGTATAATTTGCTGCTTGCTCTGGACTGCAGATCTATTCCCTTTGCTGAAGGTGCTTTTTCAGTGAGGTGTAACAGCTGCCACCACACGTGTGCTTGAGGATTCCAGGATTGTCCAAAAGACTAAAAGCTGGCCTCCTTGGAAACTGAGCAAGGAAGGCAATTAAATGTATTTTTGTTGTGGTCACATGAAAGGGTAAAATATAACGAGCCAATCTCTTGCAGAAGGAAAAAATGGCCCAGACATTAACGAGACTGTTCCTTGGTCAGATTTTGGTCTGTCAGACTTTGGAATTTTCCTCACCCATCACCAGTCCAGCACTGCAATAATTAATGTTGCATGCAATCCCCAAGGCAGTAAGGGCTGGCTGCTCACTCTCCACTGTCCAGAAATCAGTTGTGTCCTGCCTAGAGTCCCTTTATCACCTC